CGAAAAGAAAACAAGAACAAAATAAAGATGAAAAGTAGAAGTGAAGAAAATGAAATAACAAAAGGAGTCTAGCCGATACTTGGTATATGTAACTGTCACAGGTGTGATTTGTAAGATGACATCTTACACAGCGGCTTGAGTATAATTCAGTCAGAGTCCGCCAGTCCTTACCTTCAATGAGAGCTCTAGCACCCATGTATTTGCCATCTACAAGCTCAGTGTTGAACGCTTTGGTTGGCCGCAAGACTGAAACCTTACAATGCATCAAAGGTAACTGCGCTGCATGTTCATTTTGTAGAGCACCTGATACCAACTTCAACAACCATGTGGTGAAGTCCTTATTTGGTGAGTTAAGTTGACTCATAGCGCCCTCAAGCCGCACGTTGAGAGTGAGCAAAAACTTTGTGATATGGGACCATAAGAAAGACACCTTCCGAGTTGTGCTTGCCTGTTCACACTTCACAATAGGTAAAATTTGCCAAAAGTCTCCAGCAAATAAGACCACTGTCCCTCCGAATGGGAGATCTAAGCCAGTCAAATCCCTAGAGGTCCTGTCAACACATTATATGGCACATTTGTTTTGCATGGCTATTTTGTCCCACACAACAAATCTTGCTTCTTTCAATGTACAACCCGCATGATCTCTCAATGAAATCTGACAAGTCAAGTCCTCATCATCTGGGATTGATATTTTAAACGTACTATGTGCAGTTCTACCCTTTGAGAGTAAGACACAGTGTAATTTTACTAGTCACTGGCACACCAGTGAGTTCTATTCACCTCAATCCAATCTCAATTCAATATCAGTTCAATATCAGTTTGACCTCAAATTATGTTTGAGTGTGGGATATGCATGGGCTGCATAATCTCTCAAACCTCTCAGACATTCTGACACCTTCATGTGTGGACATGCAATCAAACTTTATTCCAGTTCATTCTGGAAGGTTGTTTGTCTGCTACTCTAGGGAAAACATTGAGATTGGATTGACATTGAACTGACATGGATTTGAGATTGGATTGAGCTGGACGTACTCACTGGCCTGCCAGTGAGTATTAAAATGACACTGTGAGAGCAAAGTGATTCCAGCAGCAGATACTGCTTGGAAAGCAACATCATTGGCATTGCAATAATGCAAGATGCAGGTTAAAACATAAGTTTTTCCTGTTCCTCCAGGACCATCAAGCAAAGCCATATAAGGGGTGCAGTTGTTGAGTGATTCTAGGATGGGTTCAACCACAGGTCTCTGTATGAGGGTGAGAGCTTGAGACATCAAATCAAATTTCCTGGCGCTCTTTTCTGGAAGAACTTCGTTGACAAAATTGGTGATGGTTTCATCTGGAAGGTTTAATTCATGAAGGAGAGATTGATCAACAGATCCAAAACCAATAGACTCAAGCCTTGACTCCATTACAATCACACATTTCTCAAGCATATGCAGACCAAAATTATGAATTTGTTCAATGGTGGGAGTCGCGCTCGGATTCAACTTCTTGATTTGTTGTTTGCAGTTGTTGCACAGGTTGTTGGCATGTTCAGACCAAAGTAAGCCGGGATTTGCAGGCAAGCTATGGCAGAGGATTATTGCTAACATCTGCCTAATCTGATTGCCGGTCTTCCGCACTGCGGCTTCTGTTAGACTATGATGGTAATGGTGATCCAACAGCAGCAGTCCACGCTTATTGGCAGCCTTGCAAAAAGTAGTGTAGGTGACTCCTTTGACGGATTGCAACACTTCACAAGATTTTGGACCAGGCACGTGGCATAATAGTAATCTTAAATAGTAAACATCTCCACGCTTCATGTTTGCAAAGTAAACCCTGCCTGATGCAAATGACTTGTTACGTCTAAGAGTCAACCTCTTGGTCTTCTGGTTCCACCTGAAGTAGTTGGGAACTTCTTGGTATTTTGGACTCCTGATCATATTTTGAGACCTTGGCAATTTTGAATTTTACTGGCAGAGCCTAAAATACTCCATCAAGGTGGTCCTTTCAGCTCAACCAGTTACCAGTTGTCTACATGATCCATGCTCATCAAAAAAGTTTACTATCTGGTCATCTTGTAGATGCAAAGCAAAACATTGCACTGGTGGAAACCAAATTCAATTGGATAGCTAAGGAGGCGCCAATTTGCTACAAAGATGAATAAGTTCATGTTGTGATACTGTCAATAAAGTATACAAGCTCACCTTCAGGCACACTGAGGAAACAAGTGTTAACCACAGCAAGGATTCCATCAAGTGTTGCATCATCTTCTAGATTTGCCATTGTGCGATTGTGCCCTTTCAAAATATACTTGAATAGATATTTTACAGCACAGATGCTGAGGGTGACCTCCATGTTTGTGTGGCAACCAAACTTGAGCAGTTGGAAACAATTATACGGGACCACACTTCCATTCTCATACTTCACACCACCTTTGAGGAAGTAACAGCCATTCTCAGGTCTCTTGTAGGTGGGATAAGAGTCTTCTGGCATAGATGTTGTTTCATTAAAGGCTCTTGGGTATCCTCATGTACACTTTGAGCCGTCCCAACACTTGAAATTCCTGCACTGCCCATGAAGCATGTGATCAGTTACCAGTTCAAACAGCAAAGGATTGGTATCCGGGTTGGGAAGTTGTGCCAAGATCAGGCAGTCAACATTGCTAGTATTCTTTGGTCGGGAGGCAGAGTCCAGGAACAGGATCAGATGGCAATGTGGTAGACCTCTTTTCTGGAATTTGATCGTGTACACGTAAGCCCAGCCCCCAATCACAAGTGACTGGCAGCCCAGTGCATCCCATGGCTTGAACCTTTTTCAGTTTTTTCTTAATTTCTTTCATATATGTTTCCAACATGCTGTGTGAAATATCTCTACCAGTTATCATGAATATCTTGTCCAGTCATCAGAATGATCCTGATCAGTCATTGGCAATATCTCAACTGGGTGGTGAACAAGTGTTGGACAGCTATGGAATTCCTACATCCATAAGTATCACATGCCTTTTGAAAGTGATCCAATTATCAGACTTCCTCTAGAGTGTCAGGACAAGTTGGCGCCCTTAGATGATGGAAAACCCAGATTCCTTTTTGATGAGCACATTGACTCCATTTGATCACTTTACCTGGCAGCCAAGTTGCGGCACATACAAACAGAAATCAGTGTATGTCTCCATCTCAATGTCAGACATATAAAGTATGGCAGGGCAAGTTGTTACTTCAGCACTATTCCAGGCATAGCTTCTTCCAGGCCAACCCCTAAAGCAGCTGCCTGCCAATATTCATTTAAAGTCTACATAGTCCTTGCAAGGATCCCCCATTTCAAATCTGGCAAGCCTGGATCCTCCTCTGCCAAAATACTTAACTGCCTGCTGCAGTTCATCCAAATATTTTATAACATATGTACTCTACAATCATTCAAAGATAGTGATGGTGAAAAGATCACTAAGTTGGTTGAACAGCACCAAGCTAGCCTGGGAGGTGGATGGCCACATATGATGAAAAAGCCAAATTTGCATTTTGCTGAACACATTGGCTCTATGTCCACCCTTCTTGGGCCACCTGCCTATATGGCTAGCTGGGCAGGGGTGCAGATCATTGGAAGCCTGGTTGTAACGCGTAAAAATGGAAATCAGTGTATGTCTCTATATCAATTTCAGACCTGTAGAAAATTGGCTGAGCTTCTTTTCTCATGCTCAGAAAGGCAGGGCAAGTCATTACTTCAGCACTATTCCAGACGTAGCTTCTTCCAAGCCATGATCAATAACAATCACACTGCTTTTAGGAATCATCCTATTATTGGAGAATACCTCTTAAGAAAGTGACAGACAGACTGGAAAGTAAGAAAACTCAGTCCTATTGCCTTTGGGACCCTTCAAAAGAATGGTTATATAGGGGCAGAGTACACTACACGCTCAAAATTTGATGTGACCGCAAGCATCCTCATTTCAAACAAGCCAGATAGCACTTACCAGAAGACGCCTGGGAATATCTACATCTTGTATTCCCATGACTCATGCAAATGGAAGGGCCTTAACACTGACATTATCAAGCTTCCCAGCTCTGAACATCCACTCCTTGTTGTCAATTCATTGGTACCTCTTTCTGATGATGACAAACACAGAAATCTGTACTATTTGTTGCCGGCCTTGCTGAATGCCTCAGTGCTATACAACAAGCATGGAGGAGATCATGTCATTAAGTGTGACAAGGTCATTGGGCAGCGAGTTGTCAACAGGAACGAAAAAGTTACTTTTGATATTCAAAGCCAAACACTGTCAACAGTTGAATTGATGAATCTGTTGAGTTTTGGATTGATTGGGGTTTTTGCTTTTGACTGAGTTTTGTTGTTTGGCCAGGGATTTGACCAATGAGGAACAAATTGGTTCCTAAGCCCATGGGGACTTAGCGGGGCTTAAGAGTTGGGGCAAAGCCATGAGTTGGGTAGGAAGATAGTAAACTCTATCTTCCAGGAAGCTGAAAGATCAGCCACCTGAACCATTGACTAAAAAGCACCCAAAAAACATGCCTCACCTCATACCTCAGTTATAAATAATTGAATTGTTGATCTTATTTTGAAGCATTTAGGAAAAGAAATAGAAAATCTATTATTAGCAAGAATAAGCAGAGCTGAAGGACAAGTCAAATGTATAACAAGAGGAATGTTGGCATCATTAGCAAGATCAAGATTAGAAGAAAATGAAAATTGAACTGATGAAAGGGGAGCAGCAACAGATCAGAATGAAGGAATAGAAAGTCATGAAGTAGATCAAAACATAAATCATAGTGGTAACACGAGTGGTAATACACAAAACATTGTAGCAAGTTCAGGAAAAGAAGGGGAGAATTTAGGAGGCAAGAACGTAGATGGAGTTGAGATAAAAATTGTAAGGACAGGAGTCGGCGAAGAAGAAGTTAGTCTTGAAGCAGAAGTAGAGAATAACAAGATAGACAGTGATGACAAAGATGATCAATCATGGTGCCCCCCCCATTGTCCAAAAAGGGAAGGGGAAGAAACACAAAATGTCACCTAGCCCATTGGTAGAATATGAGGTGTCAATGATCAACAGCACAGGTTTCCAAGGTAAAGATAACTTCATTAAATGACTTACAATTTCTCTCTATCATCCCATTTCCCTATTCCCCTCTATCATCTATCTCCTTCCATCAATTCCTCTCTCCCATCAATTAATTCATTCCATCAATCCTCTCTCTCATCAATTACTCCATTCTTAATCAAAACCAAGGCAACCAAATCAAAACCAAGACAGCCAAATCAGATCATCATTGGAACAAGACAGTTTCTCTAACAAGAATGTAACTGTGGCCGGGTGATAAAACACCATGGTGGGCCTGGAAAGGCAAGAAATAGCAAGTTCTTGACAAGAATGAGACTGCGGCTTTAGGTGCATGTACCAAAGTGAGCCTCACCCGGCTCAAAATAGGGAGAAGAGCTCAATGAGGTGCTGTCAGAAATAATCAAAACAATGAATAATGTGGAACCAACTTGATGAATCAATTGAGTTTGTAAAACAGACAATGTCAATCAGGCAATGGACATACAAGCTCAGATCCATTTTCTGTACGTGACCGGCAACATACGTGACCGGCAACATAGCACGAGGAGCAAAACTGTTATCAAAAGAAATGGATACATCAAATGTCAATCCAAAAGACTACCAAGGAGATCAGCTGATCGAGATGCAGGCACAAATCAATTACCTGTATATGACAGGAAAAATCACCAATGGTGCCAAACTGCTAGCTAAGGCAATGGACTGGAAGAGTGCTAGTACCATGGGTTCAAACAAGTACCGTCACAAGACACCAAGACAAGAGTCCTTACGCCAGGCTGTGTCACAAAGAGAATTGAGCCAACAGATTTCCTGAGAGGGAGAACAACGGAACAAACTCAGAAGAGAAGTGGGATACTTGCCTCCTACGAAAGGCAGGCATTGTGGGACTGGTCCATGGAAAAAGGAGGTGTGTGCTCTTTATGAAGATACAATTTCTAGAAAGAGTAATAATGTGAACAGAAATAACCTATACAGGACTCTCAAACCCAATCAGGTTAAATGAACTAGAACCAGATGACTCTTAGAGGAAAGATAAGTCACATCTCAGTTCTTGGCATTCTCAGAGAACAACCTGAAAGAGAGTTATATAGCAAGCTACTCGTACTTGGCTTGGTCCTCTTGTCCATTTATTCATTTCACTAATCCTATCATCATCTCCTTATTTTTCCATCTCCTAGTCAGCAATCCTATCTAGAGTCTTACTACTCCAAATAGTTATCTATTATTATTATTTTTACAGCTTATCATTATCATCTATCTTTGTTTTAATCTTTGAGTCTATTATCAATAACACTAATGATTACATAATACAAGATTGTAGTTCATTGCCGTCGTGATATAAACTTCTAATTCAGTAACAGCAATAACACTACGAAAGCCTTACCTTAATTCCAACTTTACCTCACTTGTAAACAGAATGACAATCACTGAATCCAGAGCTATCCAAGCCAACAGAAGGGCACAAGGCCTCAAAAATCAGTCAAGCTCCAATAACAACGACAAACCAATAACCTCATCTCTTGACGGAGAAAACCTCCCTCCAGACGCAGAAAAAGATGTAGGTGACAATTCAGACTCAGCTAGAGGATCTGACAATCCCACTGGAAGAGAGACCGACTTGAACCCAAACAACAGCAACAAAAATAACCAAGACCAAGAATATGAAGAACTGAACAACAACAATCCAAATCAAGCACAACAAATACAGATCGAGTCAGGAGATGAAGATCAGAATAGAATAGAATCAGAAGGAGATTTGAAGTCTGAATCCAAAGACAAAAGTCTGTCGGGCGACTTCCAAGATTCAAGCAGTTCAAGTTCATCAAGTGAAGATTCAGACTCTGAACACTCTTATGATTCAAACAAAGACAATAGTGAATCATAATCCACTCATTCAACAAGCAACTCCGATTCAGCAAGCTCAAGCACAGATTCAATCTCATCAGGATCACCATCTCATTCAGATTCTTCAGATTCAAGTGAAGAATCCAGCTCCTCTTCAGAAGAAGAAGGTAGAAGACAGAAGAAAAATAAGAAAAATAAATGTAAGCAGCTGAAAACGTTACTCCGTTAATTTCCTTCTTGATTAATTTCAGTGATGACAAAGACAAGAACTACACAAGTTCTACCCCGCACATCACTCCTCCCTTCTATCACTCATATGAAATATCCTGGCCCTAGCATGTCATGTACAGAGGACTAGATAAAGAATGAAATATATCAAAGCAACTCATGGCCCTGGTCTTAAGACTTCAGAGGACTCAAGCAGCAAACTTGCTTTAAGCTAGAGTATAAAAACCCTAGATACATATGATTCTCTTCATACTTCACAATCTAATCCACTCCTCCGTCACTACGAAGTTAGATGAATGACTAATTCTAACAAAGAATTGCTTCTACGTAACAGACTTAAGTAAGAAAATCAAGAAACACAAGAAGCATAAGTCAAAATCTAAATCAAAAAAGACTTCAAAAGGGAAAGAGAAAGCTAGAAGTTGAAGAAGAAGAAAAACAAATCAAAGTCCTCTAAGAAGAAAGTCAAAATCAAGATAGAAATAGGATCTGTACCGACTGGAGATTTAGTAGCACTCCAACCTTTCTGGGGTGACCAAATGACAGACTTACATTCATCCATCCCATTAACAGTATTAGATCAAACTTTTGCTAGAGCATACAGAGAAGAATACAGCAAGAATCACCACTCCTCATCTTCAAAGAACAAGTCAAATAAAGGCCTAGATGCACTCTCAGAATACAAACTCACATTTGGTGAATGGTCAGAGTGTATGAGTTTATTTAGAAGGCATTTAGCAGGATACTACGCTCAAAAATTATCAGCAAAACAATTGAAATTACACATAGAAAACGTGAAAGCAATAAAGTAAGAAACCCCTCAGATCCCAAAGTTATAACAAGAATCTTTAAGAAAGACCAAAATCTGACTTAATAAGCGGATAGACGTTCCACCAAATGCTGGATGACAGCATTAAGATATGATATTTTATGTAGATCACAGGTGTTCGTGAAAAGAGTGGGAAAACTCCAATGAAAGACATCGGTATCTTGATGACAAAATATGAAAACCAAGCAAAAGACAAGTATTTACAAGCCGGGAAGCAAATGGAGGTAACTCAAACCCATGCGCAAAGGGCGGACAAATGGAATTCAGGCACCCAGAAACTGGTTTATATAAGTAAGAATTAAATGATCTATACAGTGCATAGCTCCAACGGCTAATGAAAGATATGAATTGAACAAACTTCATCCAGCAATTCAAATCACAACAACAATAACTTAAGATTCACAAGAACGACTTTAGAAAGCCAACCTCTAAAAAGGAAAAGAGGAAAGAGAAGCAACCACCAAACAACTCATCAAACGTCAAATCACCCCACAATAGGGCGGTTCAAGTAGAAAGTTGCGGATACCTGTGACGCGACGTCCCGAACACTTTTTTTAGGTCGTCCGCTTCCTAAATTCCTTGTCCGCACTTTGCCAGATGCTGTAAAGTTACAATTTAAGTCCATGTATAATCAGGGACACTGTGTCCCAACGTCTCTTTTTCCCAAGTTTTTTTCCATTTGTTATGCGCTCATCTTTTTTTCTTTGTTTCAACGGTATCACTTTTTCATTTACTTGTCAAGAAATGAAGCCAGAGAGGGACTATCACGCATGGTCAATTTTTTTGATCCCTTTTCTCGCACCTTGTGAGCTCATCATCCTCAAACAAGCTTCTCTTTTTCAACCTATCAAGATGCCCCGTGTTTCAGACAGAGTCACTGTGATACGTGAGCTAATCAACCTATGTGTAGTCGCCCACATGGACTCCGAACCACGTTTCCCAGGCCAAGAACCCAATCCCGACAACCCTACTGAAGGCGAGCTGCTTTTTGGCTACGATCCTGAGTTGGCGATTTTGTATGATGCACTTTTCGATGAACAAGAACAGTGGGGCCAGTGGCTTGCCCAAGTGACCGCGAGACGCTATCTCAACAATCGAATCAGCGCCCCTTTACCTACGCCGTTCGACTTACGCGACATGCTAACACTGTGCAGATGTAGTATTTTTCCACCATGCAAAATGATTAAAATTAATGTCAAAATGATTAAAAATGCTGTGTTAATGCATAAAAATGCACCATTAATGCGGAAAAATGCAGCATCAATGCAGTAAAATGCAGTGTTAATGCACACACAAAATGAATTCAGAATTCCACCTTTTTCAATACGCTATCTCAACAATCGAATCAGCGCCCCTTTACCTACGCCGTTCGACTTACGCGACATGCTAAGAAGTCGACACACCGATTTTCGTCAAGCCATGAGGACAACCCCAGAAGGCTTCCATGCCCTGCTTAATATGATTCAAGCAAACCCCATCTTTATCTCCTCGAGCAACAACGGACAGCCTCCGATAGAAAAACAACTTGCAATTACCCTTGAGCGACTCGGCAGTAACGGCAACGGGGCCTCTGTTGGCCGATTCGCTCGTAACTACAAAGTTGGCAGAGGTACGATAATCAATTGTACCCGGCGAGTGATATCAGCAATCTTGGACGCTGGAGATCATTACCTTAGCTGGCCCAATCCTCATAGGCGCAAGGCTATTGCGAAAGTCCTTGGTCGTGATGGGTTCCCCGGTTGTGTGGGATTTGTCGACGGAACCACAGTGCCCCTTTTTCAACGACCTGGACGTGACGGGGAGGTTTTTTTCGACCGCAAGCATCGGTACTCTATCAACATTCAAATTATCTGTGACTGTGATCGCAGAATAACTTACGCCTACGCTGGATTGCCCGGTTCGTGCTGTGATAGCACAGTATATTCCAAAACCGAGCTTGCCAACACCCCTGGAAGATACTTTGATCGAGGTTAGCATCTATCTTTTTGTCTGATAGAACGAATGCTCACCTAACTGATTGCGTTATCTATTCTCAGGTGAATACATAATTGCAGACTCTGCGTATATACCTTCGGAAACCGTTGTCCCATCATACAAGGGTCAAGCTGCGGAGGTCGAAAGAAACAAGGACTTCAATTGGTGTGTGGCGAAGTCGCGAGTGCGGAACGAGCACTGTATTGGGATTCTCAAGTCCCGTTGGGCATCTCTTCAAGGTTTAAGATTATCATTGAATAGTAGAGGTGATATGGTTCACATCTTAAGGTGGATTCGCTGCTGTATTATCCTCCACAATATGCTAGCAGATCTTGGAAGTGCATGGGAGGAAGAGGATGGTCATATTGTCTTGCCTGAACGTGGGGAGGCAGGACGTTTACTAGGCGGAACACAAGCAGATCCAGCGGGTGTAGAATTGGGAAGGGCCAAACGAGAAGACGTTCGAGACCACGCAGTCGCGTACAATTGGGAGAGTGGAGGTCTACCCATTATCTAACTAATTTCTTTTGTTTGCGGACATTCCGTCCTTTCTTTCTTTCTTTTTCGGACAATGACTTTGTTTTGATGTTTTTGTGACTTTGTTTTCTTTCTTTTGTATGATTTCCTCCGTATGCTGTTTCTGTATTTGAGGTTGTCCTGTGGTCTCTTTTCGGATTTGTTTTCCTATTGTCCTCTCGTTATTTGTAGTTGTTTTTGTCCTTATTGGTCTGTTGATAAGCATTGCAATCGATCCCAAGCTTCCTCTTTGTTCACATGCAAATGAACCGCGAGGGATGTTTGGGTTGGTACATAGACCACACTTGGCCATAAAAGGACACAACAATACATAATAGATTTCAAACTTGGAAACACCTCGTGAGGGACACTTACAAAGAGAAAAGAATTTGAGAACACCTCGTGATGGACACTTCCAAAGAGAAAAGAATTTGAGAACAACTTGGGGGACACATACAAAGAGAAAACAATTTGAGAACAACTTGGGGGACACATACAAAGAGAAAACAATTTGAGAACCACTCGTGAAGAACGAGTTGTTCTCACTACTCTATACATGGTTCATACATACCATGCTAATACGGAGGCTTGTATCACATAACTAATCTAATGAATAAGACATTCAACACACTTTAACAATAGCCAAACAGAGAGTCTCGCATGACTGAGCAACAGAGAGTATCATGTTGCTAAGACGAGCTTGAAAGGGGTTGATCCAGAGCCGGGGATGAAAGATGAGTTCGAAAGGGCTTGATCCAAACGTCCTGAATCTGAATCAAGATGGATCATCATCAGCCTGACGTCAAAGAAGTGTATACACACGTCAATAACTTACATCACTAAGCTTGATCATCGGGATATACCAGACGCAAGTACGCTTCGACCTCTGCAGGGGATTTTCCATCCAAGGCCAATTTCTGACAGAACGCTTGACACTCTTGCTGAGCTGAAATGACCAATCGACGAGTTTCTGCGTCCCGGGCTTCTTGACAATCGAGGAAGTATCTTTCTCTTTCCCAGGTCAAGGCTGAATTGCGTGATTCCGAATCAACTCGCATGCGTTGAGTGTCAAACTCCTGACGCCACTTAGTGGCGTTCGTTAGCAACTCAATCTTGGCATCATTCCCTTGTTGAAGGGCGTTGGCGAGAGCGTGCTTCTGTTCCTTGTGGTGGACAGTTGAGGGATCAATTGAAGGCAGAGGATTGAGAGACCGGCGAGAGAGATTCGCACGAGAACCGGCGCGAGGTTGAGTCGCAGGCGGGCCATCCGTGTCAGAGCTGAGGTCCAAGGCGAGTTCTTCGGCGGTGAGTCCATCTTCTCTAGAAGCACGTTTCTTTCCGGGTTTGTTCATACTGACTTTCGATTTCTTGCTTGGTTGAGAAGGACCAGTGGCAGGCGGGCCATCCGCGTCAGAGCTGAGGTCCAAGGCGAGTTCTTCGGCCGTGAGTCCATCTTCTCTAGAAGCACGTTTCTTTCCGGGTTTGTTCTTACTGACTTTCGACTTTTTTTTGGTGTCAGAGTTAGTTTGTGGAGGATTGGTAGTCTCTTCAGCAGGCGCGTTGATCACCAGGGAACTTTTGGTGGAGTCTTTTGGTGTAGGAGGAGGAGAACTGAACTTTTCGTCAATAAACGCACGATAATGACGGTTCAACACATCAGCCGGAGTGGTGTCATAGATTTGAGAGTTCGATGGCTGAGAGGTGCTCGTCATAGAGGTTCCTGTGGTCAAAAATTCAGGTGAGAAGATGCAGAATTGACGACAAAGACTGAGAATACCACAGTGAGGTATCACTTACCAGCGCGCGCCCCGGTTTGCTTTGGAAGCTCCACCTCGTTAGAATGGTCATGACCATCGGAGGTGTCACCATCGGACTCGTCCCCAACGATTGGTTCACCTTGGCTTCCGTCATCGCTGTCATCGTCAGAAGATCTCGAACCAACTCCGCTCTCGAGGATGCCAAATGGAGTGACATTCCCTTTGTCTCGAAAAAGGGCGTCCATTTCGTTGTAAAAAGGGCACATTGATTCTAACAAGTCCTCCATGGTGTGAATACCATCCGCAACGTTCTTGGCAGAGAGGCCACTGCCAGTCTTCAGACTGAAAGCCTTTGCAGCCGCGTACTTCGATTTATAGCGTTTGAGCCTTTGGTACAAGATGCGTCCATTCAATCGCATCTTTGTAGTATCGTGACGAATGTTATAGTTGTTGTTCAATTTGATAGCGAGCGGGTTCAACAGAGATCGCGGGTTCATGGGCAGTCCGGACACCTTTGTCTGACTGCCACCCCCAAACAAAGCATTACGGACGTTCGTCTTCGAGATGTACGACAGGATTGTTTGGTAGTCGACGCGATCGAGAGTAGGGCTGTCCCTGTTTGTCTTTGAATTGGGTGCCACTGTTACTGAGGCAGCGCGCGCCATACGAGATCGCCTCACTGCCGCCGGGGTAGGTTTAGAACCAGGAGGCAAGCCAGAGGCAAGCAGATCCTGCTCAATCTGAGCCTTGGTTCGACGAGCTCGAGGGGCCTACGCAGGAAGTACGAAAGAATTGTAAGCATCCATTTCGATTCAAGTCACAACCTTCGAGTGTTGGTGGAATCTGATGACACACCTTTGGTTCCGATTTAGGTGCCATTGCGATAGGTCAAAAGCGAAAGGTAGAAGCAATAGACAAGGTAACCGATAGAAAAGGTAAATCCAGAAGAGGAGTGATGGGAAATCAGAGTGACGAGCGAAAAGGGAGGGAATCCTTTATAGCTTCACATCCAAGGTGTTCGCGGTTGACGTCTTGGGATATGGGATGTGGGATCT